AGCCTGGCTGAAGTCCCTAACTTGGCTTTAGAATCCAGCTCAAGAACCTCTTCTGTACACACACCCTCAGAATTCACAAAACACCTAATTCTTTGCTCCTAGCCCTCCACTCTAGTGCCAGAGATAGAACCCATAATCTCATAGATGCTAGGCAAGCACTCTACCACTAAACATACTCCCAAGTCCTGCACCTAGCATTGTTGGCTACTCTTCATTGTACCATTCTGATCAGGTAAATTGTCGCAGGGTTGTCATCAATATGCTCAACTGTCGTCAGTATGTATCTGGGAAATAAGAATCACAAACATACATACTTTACAAGTAGTAACAAGCTAGGGGAGCCAAGATGCATTTCAACCTTTGCCCAGTAAACAAAAATCAGTCTCTTTTGCAGTGCTGAGGATGGAACCTAAAGCCTCCTACAAGCTAGGCAAGTACTCAATCACCAAGTATACTACACCAACCCCACAAAGTCTTTCTACCAGTAAAAGTAAAACAAGAAATGCAATCAAACAGTATTATATGTTTTGGGTTTTAGCCCAGTATGCTAAGCTTTCTATGCTCAATTCATTCCAGAACTCCATAAGGCACTCTTTAAAGCTACACCAAACTGTAGCTTACATAACTGGAAAAAAAATTTTTCTATTCTTAAAAACTGTTGGACCCAGAGCATAGGAGCTCAGTGGCAGAGCACTTGCCTAGCATACATAAAACCCTGTGTTTGATCACAAGCACAGCAAAGAAAAAAAAATTGTTCAAATTCTAGTTACATATATACATATATATATATTCTATTTCTGTGTGTAGTCTTTTTATAATCTATTCCTAAGTACCAGCTTACCACATGGGCTAGTTCAATACTACGATTTCATTTTGGGAGGCAGAGGCAGGCAGATCTCTGTGAGCTCAAGGCCAGCCTGGTCTACATAGGGAGACCCTGTCTCAAAAAGACCAAAAAAAAAGACATAAAATTCAAACCAGTAGATATTTTGTGTGTCCTGTCCATCCTTTAGAAAAATACTACACATCTTATATAGTTATAGTCCTACAGGTTCTTCTAAGGAGTTCTGCCTACAACAGTAGTTCTCAACAATAAGCAGTTTGGAGATGTTTCAGTTAATACTCTGGCAAGGTTGGGCAGCAGTAAGGGCATTCAGTGTTAAGAGGTCAGAGATCCTCATAACTGTCCTACAATTCACAGGAAAGCCACTCACAATAAAGGAGTAATTATCTGCCCCCAATGTCAATAATCCCAAAGTTAAGAAACTATGACCTACAGAAATCAAAATACTTCCTTTTAGAAGTTTGTGAACTATTCAGTATAGGATCAAGACCAAACTAGATATATTTATTAAATTTAATAAGATTTAAAATGATTTCAAAAACTAAATACTAAAAGAAAACATACAATAATTTCACAAAACTAATTTGTTTATGCCACAGATTTAAACATTCCCATTGATAAAACTAGAAAATGTCAGCAAAGTATAGTTAAAACATGAAAAGAACTGTATGTAGCAGGATACTGCATGAAATATGAACCAGACTATATGCATTAATTTGAGAGCATTTTACTTCACTAAGCTTCAAATTTAAAAATTATGTCATATGTTATAATACAAGTAAGCTTTTAATTATAGGTAACATTTAATGAGTTTAAACTAAGACTCATTAAGGTGTTCTTAAATTGTTTTTTTTGGGAGGGGGAAGGGGTCTTTTTGAGACAGGGTCTCCCTGAAGCACCACCTGGCCTGGAACTCACTATGTATACCAGGCTGGCCTCAAACTCACAGAGGATCTGCCTGCCTCTGCCTCCCGAGTGCTGGGACCAAAGAGGTGTGCCACCATGCCCAGCTGTGCTTAAATTCTTTAACAAGTAATAAAGTATTAGTAATACAAAGTAGGCTCAATTATTTTTAATAATTAAAAGTATGTCTACCCTTAGCAAGTCCTGGCAGTGTAATGCAAAATTAACAGAAGCAAATCTGTATTCCAAAGCCGTCTCTGCAGACATTTAATTCTCTGAACCTCAATTTTCTTAACTAAGAAATAGGTAATATAATTCTAAGACCGGTTCTTAAAGATTAGCAATAATATATAACGATAAGACATTCTATAAATAGCAGCTGGCAGCAATAATTAGTAGCAATAACACATAAATAAAATAGACTATGGCTTAGCATGCTGATCCTCACAAACAATTTACCCATATAACTTGACTCATAAATTATAAACGCATTTTAAATTTTCCATTCCTAGCAACTCTGAGCTTAAAATTCAGTCTTATTTTAATGAGTGACAGATAAAAGGCCATGTCCAAATATTACTTTACAAAAAGAATAGATGGTGTCTTTATTTCATTAACATTTAAACTATTCAAAATCCAAGCCCAGTCATCCAACTCCCCCTACACATAAGTAATCAATTTAACAATTTTTCATCAATCTTTTCACCTGTATTGGCACAAATGGCGACCTCCTCTCCACAGTATTTGATTTGCATTTATGTTAAGCTTTATTATAAATAACATACTCTAAGAATGACCACTTGTAATCTCATGATCAGAATTCAGCAAATGTAAGCTTTACAAAGACACTTAAAATGCAAGCCAGAAATAAATTATTAAGTCAACCAAAATTCTTAAACACTAACATATTAAACTTTGGTAGACTGGAGATTTACATAAGATGGCAAGGTGAAATCTTGATTACTTGATCAGCTATTCAAAATATTACAATTACACACAAACAGGAAATATATGGACTGTACTATGAGCTCAAAATTAATCAACTCATTTATAGAACTATTTCTATGGCTATTTATAGAACTAGGTCTAGTAAAATGTCAATGGAATAAAATATTGGTGAAAATTAAACTGTTGGTCACATTTTTACAATTTTTTTTTTTTGGTCTTTTTTGAGACAGGGTCTCCCTGCAGCCCCAGCTGGCCTTGAACTCACAGAGATCCACCTGCCTCTGCTGGGACTAAAGACATGCGCCACCACACCGGCCGAAGATAAAATTTTATCTGATCTTTTTCTAAATATTCTCTGCAACTCTCTTTCCTGGAATAAGTTTCCTGTCAGGTTTATACTATTATTATTTTTTTCACTATTCCCAAATAATTTGTATTTCCTGTTCTCTTCCTCAGAAACAGTTACAGTTAAATAGTAATACAATAATATGCATTACTACAGCCATATAAATTCTTGTAATCTTCAACACTAGGTACTACGGTGAAAAGTCGTATCACATAAAGCAAAGAGGTTATATGGACTATCAGAGCAGTAACTTAGCACTCTTAAATAAATTAAAGCATTAGATGTCTATAAGTTTCAGGTTTACACAACCTTATTACAGAAATGTTTTAGACTATTGGCGACAATATTAACTGCAATTTTTCATTAAGAATGTATGCCAACAATCCCAGGGTACATTTGCTTATCAAAGAAAAAATTAAAATCACTGTTAAAATGTATGTGAATACATTCATGCTCTACTTTTGCATTGTGCCACAAAAATACAAAGTCATCCTTCCATTCGGAGTTTTGGCAAATGAACAAATAGAGGTCAGAGTTCATACACATGCTCTGTAACACATCATTACTTATTACTATATTCACTAAATCATTTTTAAAGAACTCTCCATGTCTACGTGGAAAAATGGATGATTATCTGTAGATTCAGTGGCACAAATCAAACTGAAGGGCTAGATTTGTGACAATTACTCCATACACTTTAAAATGCCTACTTTCACAAATCGTTATTGACATGGTACTTTGATAAGTACCAACTGTAACAGAAAAACACAAATAGCACTATTCAATAATGGAATGGGAATTTTGAGAAAAATGATCATTTTCAGTTCTTTTTGTTGTTAAATTCGATCACAGAAAACCCAGCACTCTTGTTGGTTTAGGTGTGAAAATTTGTACTATTACTTTCACAGTTGAGGCAAATTATTAGACCATTTTCTGTATCTTATATAAATGAGGCCAGTACTATCTAAATAAATTCTAAAGAACTCAAAGGCAGCAGGAGGCAATCTTTGAAAATATATGTTGTATGTTTCTATAGTACTTTGTATCAGGATAACCCTAACTCACTTAATAACACAACAATGCAAACCTGGTGAAATCCAGACTTAACTGTGAGGGACATCATACTGAAGTTTCACAGTACTAGTCACAGAGGCATTGCCTTAGGAGAGACTGATACTTGGAAACAGTATTTTTAAATAACCTACTCATACACACCATTATTTTTCTGGTTCAAAACACACACCATACAATTTGCCTTTGCTTTTAATCAGTCAAAAAGATTTAAATGTCAACGAAGCCTAGCTAGGGGGAGGGGCTAGCAAGTGGAAAAGAGATAATGATCTAATTTCGAATTCATTTCCTAGCTCTGGTAAAAATTCCCTCAACAACCTTCTCCCAGCAAGATATTGCCTATTATGTCTCCACTGGTTTTCCAACACCCGATATGAGGGAGTAACTCTGGTCGTCCTTTCATCCGTACCTAAGGATCCCTCCCTATGGAAGGACAGGAAAGGCCTGGCAGGCAAGAACCCAGAGTTACCCCTAAAAGTGTGGGCTGGGAGATGTGCTCCCCGGGGGATCCAGTTACCACCTTTCCCCTACCCCCAACCCACTTCCCGGGTTTTCTCGGGCTCGGCCTGCTCCTTCCCCACCCCACAGCCACACTTCCAGCTGTTGCCGCCGCCTCAGGGCGCTCTCTGGAGCTCACGTGCCCGGGACGGGGCGCGTCTGCATTTGCCCCCCAAACCCTGCTCTTCCCCAGGCCGCCCGCCCGCAAGACGGTCCATCCCAGGGCCCGGGGAGGGGAGGGGAAGGCGGCGGGAGGAGGAGGGGAGACCGCCGATGCCCCGCAGGCAGAAGGCGGCCGCAGCGGGGACCCCGGGAGCCGGCGGGGTCGCGGAAGGGAGAACCCTCCCGCCCGGGGCTGAGGCCGGGGGTGTCCCGGAGTTCATTTCTGACCTCCTCGCTCTTCAGCACCTCCTTGAACTCCCGCTTGATTCGCTGCACCGCGATGTTGGCCATGTCTCTGCCCGCAGCTGATTCGTACCCGCCTCCTCCGCCACCGCTACGACCACCGCCACCGCCGCCACCTCTTCCTCCACCGCCTCCTCCCTCAGTGAGTCAGACCCGAGCACACGAACGCTGCCACTGCCACCCTTACTGCCGCGTTCCCCCTCAGTGTGGAATCACCTCCGCGCCCGGCCACCAAAATGGCGCCGGGTCCGCGCATGCGCACCACGGTGACCTGGCCGGGCGGCGCAGTCGCTCCTGTAGTAGCCTCTTACGTCTCTGCAGCTAGCCCGCGCCGGGCCGCGCTTCTCAGCCGGGCCTTCGGCCGCGTAGCTCCGCCCTGCGGGCGTCTGAGGCAACGAGGGTGCGGCTTCCGCGCCGGTCGGTCGGGTCTGGGCCTGGTGGGTCGTCTCCCCGGCCCCTCCGCCCCTCTCACTACCCGAGCGATCTGGCGGGGCTTCCAGCCCCGAGCTCGGACCCGAGGTTGGAGCCTGACCTGCCGGGTGCCCGGGCCCCCGCCTCACCCCCGCCCGCCGGCCGGAGCACCGCCCTCACTCAGCCAGACCCAGAGCTTGAGATGCCTCCCTGTGTCTAGCCGAGGAAAGAGCTAGCCCAGAACTCGGTGCTGTCCAGCGTCGGTGGGTGAAACCCAGGAAATCACTGCGGTAGCTTTTGTTCTGGAACCATCCTAACACCACTATTATTTGGTCATCTCAGGTATTACGAGTTATTAAGGATGTGTCATGAAGCCCACTGCGTCTGCTGCATCCAGGTTGGCCAGGGTGAGGCCAGAGGTGGCTTTCAAAGCCAGATGTGGATCTGTGGTCTGTTTAATGAATGCTGAGCTGTGGCGCTAACATGTCGCGTTTCAAACTTGAAAGCGCTTCCAGAATCCCTGGAGAGCTTGTTAGATTGCTGAGCTCTATCCCCATAGTGTGGGTGGGCCCAAGAATTTGCATTCATAACAAGCCCCCAGCTGTCGGGGTTTCAGAGGCCACACTCTGAGACCTGCTTGATTAGGCATGTCAAAATTTGTATCTATTAAAGTGGAAGTTGGAGAGATGGAAGCTCCTTAGGAGCCAGTTCTGGGAGGATGGAGTTTTCCTTCTGCCATGGACCTACAAAGGTGTTTGGTAGATTTCAATAAGCAGCGAGCAAATAAATGAGTTAAAAAATAATAACGAATAAAATGTTTTAAAAGTGGAGTTTAAAGCAAATACGGTTTTGGCGCTGAGAGATACTTTGAAAATAGAACATTTGGAATAATGAAGGTGTTCATTTAGGAGTATATATTTCACTTATCACCTAACCAATCAATAAGATACTCTATTACAAAAACATCACAAGCCGAGTGTGGTGGTACACACCTGTACCACCAGCACTTGAGAGGCGGAAGCAGATGGGTCATGAGATTGAGTCCAGTCGAGGAGTACTTACTATCAGGCCTGGCTCTAAAGAGAATTTCTCTTGGTTCCTTCTACTGAAACCAAGAGAGGATTTTTTTTTTTTTACTCTTAATTCTCTATCGTGCCAACTCTGTTACCAGCTTTGGTTTCCTTGTCTTTGAAATAAGGTGGTTGTTTTAGACTTTGAAGAGTTCAAAATTCTAAAGCATCATCTCAAAACTTATTTCCCTAAGTGGACTGCCATAAAAAAAAAAAAAAAAACTCATGGCAGAGCCCCCTAGTGGTCCTAAGGGGAGTCGACTATGTACTGAACAAATAATACTGTAAATATATGTATATATATATATTTATGTAATGTAAATCAAGCAGTGCTGTAGGTATTTGTGCCAGTACATTCAGAACATTCAGTTTATTTTGAGACTTTCAAAAACGTTATCACACTTTGCTTCACCCTTAATTCTTGGAACCTGAAATAAACTTGAAATAATCACAGAGGGACCAGTTAGAAAGGTCTGATCATTTCTTTGAGGGGAAGGGGATAGTTTTGTTTTTTCCTGTGCTGAGGACTGAACTCAGGGTCCATACATACTAAGTGTGTGCTCTGTGAATGAGCCACACCTGAGCCACGTTTTGTGTGTGTGTGTGTGTGTGTGTGTGTGTGTGTGTGTGTGTGTTTAGACAAGGTCTCGTAGCACAAGCTAACCACAAACTGAAACCTCTTCTCACTCAGCCTCCCTAATGCTCCACCTAAAGCACCACCACACCTGGCTCATGTTTGATAATTTCTTTTAAATGTTTTATTTACTTTTTTAAAAAGGTTTTTTGTTTGTTTGTTTGTTTTGTCTTTTGAAGCAGGGTCTCCCTCTAGCCCCAGCTGTCCTGGAACTCACTATGTAGACCAGGCTGGCCTTGAACTCACAAATCCGCCTCCCTTTGCCTCCCAAGTGCTGGGACTACAGGCGTGCGCCACCACGCCCGGCTTATTATTTTTATTTTATGTGTGTATGAATGTACTGCCTGCATGTGTGTAAGGGTACCTGAGTCATGCATCAGATTCTCCTGGAACTAGAGTTATGGCCAGTTGTTAGCAGCAAGTGGGTGCTGGGAATCCAACCTGTGTCTTCTATAAGAACAGCCAGTGCTCTTAACCACTGAGCCATCTCTCCAGCCCCAGGTTTGGTAATTTTTTAATGCAAGTAATCATTAACTCTGCAGTCCCACTTCTTGGAATTCATTCTATAAGTATTCTAAAGAATGAAAAGCAATATATGAGCTGATAAGGGACAGTGGTTAAGGTATAGTTTAAGTGAAAAAAGAAAAGCACTACATGAAATGCAATGTGATATCCTAGATTGAATCCTAGAACCCAAAGAATGTGACTAGTGATGTCTGAATAATTCCATAATTTCATGAGTAGTTATTATAGCAATATTAATATCTTTTGATATTTTTGAGACAGGGTCTCCCTGTAGCCCCAGCTGGCCTGGAACTCACTATGTAGATCAGGCTAGCCTTGAACTCACAGAGATCCACCTCCTTCTGCCTCCCAAGTGCTGAGATTAAAGGCATGTGCCACCATGTCTGGCCTGCAATATTAATATCTTAGTTTGAGCACAGCACATTGTTATGTACAATGTTCACATTATAGGAGGTAAGTAAAGAGCATACAAGAATCTATCTTTGCAACTTATCTATAAATCAAAAATTATTCTGAACTGGGCATGGTGGTGTACACCTATAATCCTACTACTTGGGAGACTAAGGCAGGGAAATCACAAGCTCAAAGCCAGCTTGGGCTACATAGTGAGTTTGAGGCAAGCCTGGACAATGTATTCAGGCCCTCAACTCAAAGAATTTTTTGTGATCATTCCAAAAGAAAAGGCTTATATTATTTATTGTATGTGTACCACAGCATTATGTATGTAGGCCAGAGAAACAACTTGTGGGAGTTGGTAATCTCCTCCTACCATTGGGTATCTGGGGATCAAACTCAGGTTGTCAGGCTTGGCAGCAAATGCCTTTACATGCTAAGCTATCTCACCAGCCAGAAAAATCATATTTTAAGCAATAATATGTTAGCCAACCTTTTGTCATTGTGACAAAATTATTGATATAAACCACTTAAAAGAAGAATGGGCTATGCCTTGTGTGGTGGTGCATGCCTTTAATCCTAGCACTTGGGAGGCAAAGGCAGGTGGATCTCTGTGAGTTCAAGGCCAGCCTGATCTACACCATAAGTTCAGGCCAGCTGGGGCTACAGGAAGATCCCTGTCTCAAAAA